ATGGAATAATATGATATATATAAATCCCTTTGGATAGGTTTATCTAAATGTGCCTGTACTTTCATCCATATTTTGTGCTCTGGTTTTCTTCCTTGTTTTTCTATCACCACTGCTGGTATTCAACAGTTGCAACCCAAAACTTCTTTGTCACCTATTCTACCAACAGATACTGTCTTCAAATCGATCTTTGTTTCTCCCCACACTTTGATATATAATCACCAGCTGTTGTTTGTTTTGTTTGCTGTGTGCATGTGAACATGAGAGGGTTGGTAGCAAAGAAGGCCTAAGGAAGATCCCTTGGGGTTGGAGATATAGGCACTTGCAAGCTACAAGGCATAAGTTCTGGGAACAAATTCTATTCCTCTTTGGGAGCAGTAAACACTACTGACTACTGAGCCATCTCTCCAATCCTAATATTGTCTTTTACTATTATTTGTTTTCTTAATCTTGGATATCCTGTCTTGTGAAATGTAAATTCTCAAAATATACCTAATTTGCCATTTCCTAATGGCCCAGGGTGCTGAATGCTTTACAGTTTTTAAGTGATAGTTTTTCAACTTTGAGACTACTTTGTAACACAGGTCTTTCTTGTTTGTTTGTTTTCTTTTCTTGACCATGTTTTTTTATTTAACCTTTGAGTTCCTGCAACATGCTAGATAGACCAGTCTTGCCTTGAAATCACAGAGATGTACTGATGTCTGCCTTCCTCTGTTATCCACTAATGACTCTTGATATTACTGTCTGTGCTTCGTAATAAAGAGAAACAGATTTGCATGCCATAAATATGTTTTTGCTATCTTCAAAAAATGCTAATTACTCTAAAGTAAGATATCACCTTAGAGGGAGAGAATGGGAAAAGTTATTCAAATAAGAAAAACAAAAAACAAAAATCAAGGGGTGCCCAACTTAGTTTTGTATCAAATTAACACAACCTACTTATTTGGGAAGAGGGACTTTCAATTGAGAAAATTCTCCTATGAGTTTCCTATAGACAAGCCTATAGTGAATTTTAGTGTTTGGCGGTTTTTCTGAATGGAAATTTCCCCTTAGGCATTTGTGGATGATCTGGAACTTGCTATATAGATAGAATACACTGGCCTTGAATAAAGTAAAGAACCCTACCACCCACTCAGACTCCATCAAAGGATTAAAGGCTTGCACTAGCATTCTCATTGATCATTTTCTTGATTAATGATTGATGTAGGTGGGCACAGTCCATTTGGGGACAGTGTCACTCCTGGTGAGGTGGTTCTACATGGTATAAGAAAGTAATTTAAACTACGTGTGAAGAATAAGGCACTACACAGCATTCCTCTATTGCTTCAAATTTCTTGCTTTGACTTCCTTTGATGGTGATGGACTGTGATGTGGAAGAGAAAAGAAAAGAATATTTATTCCCAAATTGATTGTAGTTAGGGCTGGAGCAATGGCTCAGTGGTTAAGAACGCTAGCTGCTCTTTAGAGGATCCAGGTTTAGTTTCAAACACCCACATGGTAGCTCACAACTGCCTCAAATAGAACCCCCCTCAAAAAACCAACCACTAAACCAACCAACCAACCAACCAACCAATAACAAAAGACAAACTGATTGTGGTCATGGTGTTTTACCACAGCAATAGAAACCCTTACTAAGACAAGGGGACATACCTTGTATAATATCAAACAAAATAGACTTCAGCCAAAACTAGTCAGAAGAGGGTCACTTAGTGCTCATTAGAGAGATAACCCACCTGCCTAAACACACGACACCACACACACACACACACACACACACACACACACACAGAGAGAGAGAGAGAGAGAGAGAGAGAGAGAGAGAGAGAGATGCACAATTTGGTAAATTATATAATTCTAGGTCTAAAAGTTACATATTAATCTCAAGACTGAGTGCCTTCAACACCCTCACAATTTGAAATGATGTGGCATCAGAACCTACACTAAACTACCCTTGGAATTACTAATATCATTAGTGGGCCTCATATACATCTATAGATAATTCATCTGAACTCTAAAGAATGGGCATTCATCCCTGAAATCCATTGGAACATTCTACAAAACTGACCATATATTTGGATCTCAAGAAAGTGTCAACAAATATAGAGAGACTGAAATAATTATGTGCCTTCTGTTTGAGCATAGTTGGGGTGAAGGTGGATATCTTCAGCTGTACACACTAGACAGTGTACACAGATTTAGGGAAAGCAAACATCACACTTCTGAATGATCACTGGAAAGGAAAGAAACCAAGAATGAACTTTGAAATTCCTCAATAGGTATTGCAATAAAAACACAGCAACATGCTAGGTTCACACATAAGGAAGTGAGGTGTTAAGTGGCTGTAGCAAGCCAGGTTTTTACTCTCCACACTAGGTAATGTACTCCTCTTCAGTCACGTCTCAAACGCTGGGGCTCAGTCCCTGAAACTTGTTTATATTCACTTGTGTGAATAACTCTAGGAAGGAGCTTCCCACTGAGCTTTCCATTATAGAATGGTCTCACCATGGAGTTTAGGTTATTCTGGAAGTGGATGGATGGCTTAGGCTTTTCTGGAATGCAGTCCTTCTGCCTCCTAACTCCTGAAACTATAGATGTGTGGTATCATGCCTGGCTTCTTCTGAGACATCTGAATTGTATAACCTATCAGTTCCACAGGAGACAAAAGGGGTTTTGTTGTTGTTCCTTTTTTAAAAGAAAAAAAAAATAACTCTACTTAATGTCAGATTGTTACTCTAAGCATGGCTGTTTCTGTGGATCTTGGTCTGGGAAAGGCTGGCTTTCACATTCCAATGGAAATGTGTCTCAACCTGTTTATTCTTAACCTAATAGAATACAACATGCTGGGTAACATATTTTACCAACAAGCTAAGCATAGCTAAACTTCCTTCCCAAGGAGAGATGTCAAGCAATTCCTCCCAAGGTCCCAACAGCAAACTGAGACAGGACTCAGTTACAGTTCCCTCTGGGGATCCCAAGTGTTCATTGGAGATCTTAAAGCACATAGAATAGAGATTATTTATAAGGATTTGCTTACTCTTCCCCCAGCCAACTGCCCTTGGAAAGCACAACCCAGAAAGGGTCAGAGCTGCCCTTTATCTCTATGCAGCCTTTATTCATCTTTGCCTTCATATGCTCTCTCCCTTACCCAGACCTCATTCAGCTGGATCCTCAGGTAAGGATCTTGTGCCTCCACCCCTCCTTGTGGGGTTGTAAATGGTCAGTAAGGCCGGCTCTGATAATCCTTTTCAGGTGGGCACTTTGGAAGTACCCAAGATGGATGTTGTCCAGCCAAGAGGACAGTCATTCACGTGATGGCAGCAGTCAAAATAGTCCTTTCATATGAAGAACATCTGCTGAAGAAAATTTTGGTGTTTTTTACTGTTTATTTCTGTTAAATGCTTAATGTGAATAAGGGATGGAGAGATGAGTAGGGAGTTCATAGCACTGATTTGATTTCTCTTCGAGAGAACTACAGCTGATTGCCAGCACCAGTATGGTAGTTAACAACAGTATGAGGTACACTGATATACATGCAAAAACAAAAATCCATACTCATGAAGTGAAGTAAATAAATCCTAAAGTGCATGTGAGTGACATTACTACTTTGATTAATGCCGTGGTGTGGAAGGAGTTACTTCATGGCCCTGAAAGCAATAGCAGGAATGATGAAGTCACAGTGCTAAAGCATTTGTGTCTTTGTATCTTCACTTGAGAATGACCATTGTGGGTTCTGGTTCTGTCTTAGCACAGTCATAGTGATCCTGATACTAGGGAATATATAGTAGTGAATGGAGGCTTTCTTCATGGCCCTGGGAAAAGAAAACTTTTTCTTTTCTTTTTCTTCATGTCAGGGTTTCTCTGTGTCGCTTTGGGGGCTGTCCCAGAACTGGCTCTGTAGAATAGGCTGAACCCAGCTCAGAGATCCACCTGCCTTGGCTTCCCAAGAGCTGTGATTTAAAGCATTCACCAGTATGTCCTGCTAAGGTTATGGCTTTTAGAGTGATGAATTTATGTGTCAAGTTGATAAGGGATAGAAAACCTTTTCTGAACTTCAAGTGTTTCTTTTTATAACTGTATCCTTAGTTGATTACTCCTGCCTTTATGTCTGTTTTAGCCATCTGTCAAGGAACTGTATTCCTTTGTTGGTGTGTTTTAATTTTCTTGGCAGAAAAGGCATACATTTAAACATAAGATGTGAGAACGTCATGGAATTTTGCCACATCACTAATCTTTGGAGATTTCTGTCAAGCCCTGTGTGTGGTTCCTGTGTTTGAACCTATGTAGCACCTGCTCCTACCCTGAAGTCCTGTGGTTTTTGTTGCTGTTGTTTTGTTTTCCTTTTGGGAAAAGAGATTGGAATGCACTGAGCAAACTTAAAGTACGATTGTCGTGGAAAAGGCAGGTGAGAAATAGTGAATATGCTAGCAAGGGAGCAAATGCACTCAAAATCTCTGAGTACGTTGTTTTACAATATAGTGAAATCCCCAAACAAAACACGTTTATTCCAGAGTGCTAGGATAATACGTTGTTTTCAAAAATTTGTTTTTGTTGCTTTTTTTTTTTTTTTTTTTTTTTTTTTGGCTTGTTTATTTTGGTTTTTTTCGGGACATAATTTCTTTGTGTAGTATTGGCGGCCCTGGAACTAGCCTCCAATTTAGTGATCTTCCTCCTTCGTCTCAGGACTGGAGTGAGTAAAAATGCCTGCCACCGTGCCCGGATTCTGTGTTTCATTTTGAGTCGCAGCTTCATCGTGTAGCCCTGAATGGCTTTGAATTCATAGAATTGTGCCCTTCTCAAGTGTACTGTCATTATGCGACTTCCATTTGAACTTTCCCAAAATGTTTTGATACGGAAGGCTGAGAAGGCGGAGTCAATCAGGAACAGCATTACTAAAAGGAATGAACTGTCCAATGAGGAGCACGGATATTCATAGTGCGCTTCCTGGAAACGTTTGTTTGTTTTCTTTTTTTCTTTTTTTCACCCCGCCTCGCTTAGGATAAGGGTATTCTTGTGAGGACTTGTTTGGGCAGTTCTCCCGACTGCAGGCATCTTTGGGAGTGCAGTTAGACACATCAGAAAGCAGAAATGGTGAGTGTGCCTTGGACTCGTGGAATCCCAGGTGGCGGGTGGCGCACACTAGCTCCTTTGGAAACCTGAAGTTTTCCCCGGTGGAGTCTGTCCCAGCAGTGTTTATGCCCACGTGGTCTTGAAGTATGCCCCCGGCAGGCAGCCTTGGGTCCCGCGTCCCCTAACCTTGTGCTCTAGTGAAGCTGCTTAGTCGGAACCAGCAGCTCTCTTGGGTGAGTGCTTGAGTTGGCGGAGTGATGTTACTGACCAGACTGTGTGTGGTTGACTTAAGTGTGCCTTGTTTATAATATTTATTGCGCTTGTGTGTGTAGTTACTTTGATTTTCATTTTATTTTAATTCACATTTAATACATTGTCATTTCTCTTTTGGTTTTGGCGACAGGGGGTTTTCCTGTGTAGCCCTGGATCTCGCTGTTTTCACCAGGCTAGTTTTGGTAGCCTTGGACACGAAGATCACCTTCCTCAGGGGTTAAAGGCTGACACCACCAAGCCTTCCCTTGTTTTGTTTTTATTTTTAAGACTTGGGCACTGTTTATCAGCAGGCTGAGCAAGCAACCACTGTGCAGCTGAGGCCAATTCAGTACTAAACTTTGATATTCCAACTTCCTCCTTTTCTCTTTCCCGTGCTTGTTTGTGTTTTGTTTTGTTTTCTTTCAAGTCCTAGAGTATTCACCACTCTGCTTGCATGTCACATGCGGTCTACTATTCCGGAAGTATTCCACCTACCCGCATATCTCATGGAACCTCTCTTCTCCATGGTGTCTACCAACATCCACTCGAGTATTGAAACAGATGGGTACGAGTTCAAAGAAAGTATCTGTACAAAGAAACAGTGGACTTGACCTTGTGGACTTGAGTTATATCCATTTGCTTGAAAATTTCATTTCAGATTTCTTCATTGCAGAGTCAAATTCCAATCTCTATTTTCTGAAAATCAGCTGATGGACAGACAGGCTGATTCTTTTTATGGCCGACGGGACTAGAGAAGCAAAGATCAGGACTATGTATTTATCGCCTGTAATCTATGGGCTCTTTTCATTATAACTATTAGCTCAGAGAACGAATAGCTTGAAGAAGTTGTATTTCTGTTTTTCTTTGTGATGCAAGCTCACACTGGTTTGCCTATTAATTGCAGCAGTTTAAACTTCCTCTAAAGGTTAGTATTCACTTCTCCACACATGCTCAACAAGAGTATGGGTCTTCAGGCTTTCATGGCCAGCTTTTCACCTGCTCATCCATATCCTAGCCAGTGTACAATTGTTTTATTACTAAAAATCCAATCAAACCCTTGAAAATATATTTTTATTATTGGATATTTCCTAAACATAGGTGACATGTTTTAATCAGATCTAGCATTTTATGACTTTTAATTTTATGTGTCTTTTGTTTTTGTTGTTTATAACCCACTGAGTTCTGGTAGGTGTTTGTGGTCATGCATTAGAGCCTTGGCAACATTCTAGTGGCCATATTCTGGAGAGAAAGTGACCTGCCTCCCACCCCAGACTGTCAGTTGCCAATAACTTCATAGCTAGGAGTAGCTTTCTAGATGATTGTTAGGAAAGTGATTTTAAAATGGGGAGGCTTGTGTTAAGGCTCTGCACATGCTAATGCATGAATTGCAGATGACCCCTCTTCTCTGTTTTGAGAGCCTGGTCAGTTTTCAGGATCGTGAACTGGAGCATTTTTTGTTTTAATTGAGAAGAAACATATTGATGCACTTCACAACCTTGACATCTGGCCAATGTCTGGGAGTAGATGTGTATACTGGAACATGTACTTGGATGGTTGCCGAGGACTGGACTTGAGCCACCTTTGTTTGTGAGGCTTAAAAGGTTGCTTGCCTCAGAACATCTCTGACTGCTGCTCTTTGAACCGGGGAGAAGCATACAGTCAGACAAATGGAAAGCTTGAGCTGTATGAAGCTTGTACCGTGATGACTACTGGTTATACATGCATATTCCCATGCATTTTGTGCTGTGTGAAAATGCCCAGTGGTAAATTCTTCGGGGTGAAGTCCCCTTTCTTAGGAGCTTCCCACTCTATTTCTTTATTTTAATTTAGCTTCCCACTCTATTTCTTTATCTTAATTAAGCTTCCTTGTAGAATAAATTTCTCTTCATCAACTAATTTTGTGGCTTCTTGGAAGTTCTTTCCCATAGATCAAATTGAAAGTCAAAGTCTGTGCACAACAAAGCAGCTAAACTTACTTGCCCTTACAAGGATCAATCGCATTCTCTCTAGCGTCTTGACCCACACAATCATAAGTGTTTTGGGGATTTTTAACTTTGATACAAGTATTATAGGACATTTTTGTGTAGAATACCATTCTTTCCCTCGTGCCTTTATCCATTCACCTTCTATAAATCTGCAATGTTAACATTTAACATAGACAATTGTTTATGTAGCTGATGTATTTAGTTAATAAGAAATTAGTTTCTAACTTAATAAAATGAGATATGCTGTTAAGTATTAAAATAACAATAATTAATATTGTGTATTTCTAACATAAATTTGAACTTATAGCCTTAAGCAATATACCCAATGCCCTATCTTATCTGTGCCTTCCTCTTTAATAACAAAGTTATACAAGTTCTGATCTTGTCCAATATAAACTAAAGGAAAAAAGTAATTTAAATACCAAGCTTTTGGTGTCTGTTCAGCCTCTTCAGAGTCTTCCCAGTAATCAGCTTAGGTTCTGTGTCTTTTCCATCCTAAGTTTTCTACTTAGATTACACTCATATTTTCAAAAGGACAGGCTTTAGATTTAGGATTGCTAATACTAGTAAAATATATTGTAAGAGATAATTAACAGCCTAGTCTAAAATGGAAAACTGATAAAGTATCAGTGTTTTTAAAATGATCTTCATTTACCTATGCAAATATGTATTGTTTGCATGTACTTCTGTTTTTATATTGTTCCCATTGTACAATTAGCTTGTAATCAAGAGCTCATATTCGTTAAAACTTCAGGTCATGGGAAATGTTAACTCTAAAAACTCTGGGCACTAGGGCTGGAGAGATAGCTCAGTGGTTAAGAGCACTGCTTACTCTTCCTGATGGACCAGTGTTCAATTCCCAGTACCACATGGCTACTCACAACTGTCTATAACTCCAGTTCCAGGGAATCTGATGCCAATGCACATAAAATAAAAGTTAAATAAATTATTAAAACAAAAAACTCTGGGCACAAAACATCCATGAAATCTGGGACAATATAGAAATACCAATCTAAGAATAATGGGAATAGAAAATTAAAAGAAACCCAAGGTCAAAAGCACTGAAATGATTGTTAAGAACTCAGGAAAGAAAGAATTCTACCGTAAAGAACAGATGCGTTCTGTCTGAATCATGAATTAAAACTGGATAGAATCAAAAACATATCTTGCTATCTACTCATTTTGAGTGAGTCCTTTTTTTTTTTTTTTTTTTTTTTTCATTCCAGGTATGTTGCCAAGTTACTAGTATGAGAGCTATGATTTTTATGTAGGCACTTGCTGTTATGAATGTGCCTCATTTTCAGTTATGTCTATGTTATGTCACCATAAGAGCATTAATTCTAATGGTGGCCCAAGAAAGGTATCAGACCCCCTGGACGTGAAGTGACAGGCATTTGGGAGCCACCTGATTTCATTCCAAGATCAGCAAACACTCTTGAGTAGAGCACCATCTTTCTAAACCCTAGACAAAATGTTACTATCATTTGTTTTCTTTTCCTTGGCTATTCTGCCTTGTGAAGGATGAGTTCACAAATAGATCTGAGCAATGGGCTCTTACCTCATCTTTGATCCTTGAGGTTTCCTTTCCAGCCTTATACCAAGATCCTGTGTTCAAACCCATCTGGAGCTATCTCCTTAGAGTCCTGCTTTTCCTATTGGGGCATGTGTTTAGACTGTACAGAGCAAACTGAAGGCAGTATCTTGGTGGAAAAGGGGAGTAGTGAGTAGCCCTGAATGGCTTTGGGTTCTCAGAAGAGCAGCTTCCTCAAGTGTGCTGGCAGTGAAGGTTTGCACTATCACTTCCCTAAAGTGTTTTACTAGTAAAGGCAGAGTGAGAACTGTTTGTCATTCAGAGACCTTAGTACTAAAAGGAATAAACTGTCCAATCAGTACCACTAATTGTCATACGGTGCTGCCCATGCTGCCTCTTTAGGACTTGTGATACAGAGGGGAGCAATGTCAAGCCCAGATTTGTGTGACCGTCTGTTCTCAGGGCAGCTGTTAGGGCAGCTGGACACATCAGAAGCACGACATGTGATGGGACATGTCATTCTGTAAATATGTTTCTCTTATTGGTTAATGACCAATAAGAAAGCAAGATAGGTGGGACTAGGGGAGATGGAGGATTCTGGGAAATGAAAGGCCAGTGTTGTGATGTGATCTTGAGAGGAGCAGATGTGTGAGTCTGGCATTCCTGGTAAGATACAACCATGTAGAAATACATATATTAGTAATTATGGGTTAATAATTAAGACAGAGCTAGCCAATAAGAAGCTCTAGATATGGGCCAAAAGCATTATAACTAATACAAATCATTTAAAGTCATTAAGAGTAGCATTTGATCTCTTCTAATTTGCATCTTTTGAGGTCTAATTTTCTGTAGAACTATTTTATATCCTTAATAAATAATAAAATCCCCTCTTTGCTTTTCTTCAGGAGTGATTTGTAATCCCCTACAAGGCAAATTTTTCTTTACCTCTCCAAATATTGTTTCTAAATTATCCACACTTGAGTCAGCTAGTAAATTATTGTCCATATGATGGTAAACTATAGATTACAAAAATTCCTTATATGCTATTTCAACTGGGTGACTTATAAAATATTGGCACAGGGTGGGGCTATTTAACTTTCTCTGTGAGAGTGTTATCCATTGGTCTCTTAGCAGGCTGAGAATTATTATAAGTATGCATCATGAAGACAAATTTTTCACTATTTTTGTAATGTTATAGTGAGAAAACAATCTTTTAAATCAATAATTATAAGACCATCCTTTAGATAATAAAGAAGGCAAAAGAATTCCAGACTGTAGTGATCCCATTGCCTGAATCACCTAATTAACAGTTCTTGATCTGTTACCATTCTCCATTTTCTAGATTTCTTTTCAATAGCAAATATAGGAGAATTTAAAGGGCTGGTTAATTCTTCAATATGTTGAGCATTTAGCTGACTCTGTTCTAAGGCCTATGTTTCTGTGTTGCTAAAAGCCATTTCTTAACACATACAGGCTTGTCCATCAACCATTCTTTGGTAGGGATGTGGGTGCCTTAGAAGGATTAGCAGCTGTTGTGCCCTATTCATGTATACCCTGAATTGTCAGTGACTGTTCTTTATAATACCTTCTAATATTCCCCCCCAGAACATACATTAATAAATGGTTTGTTTCTGAGACTGGAGGAATGTTAATCTGTGTATTCCATCGATGTAACAAATCATGTCCCCATAAGTTCATTATATATAGAAATGAGGCTTTAATTTTCTTCTCTGTTTTTCTGGCTCTATACATTCAATTTTTCTCTGTTTAACTTGAGATAAAGTTCCACTCCCTAAAAGTTAAATATTTACCTCTTGAAAAGGTGCATTTTGATGCCAAGGTACTGGTGAAATTGTGACATCTACATCTATAAGGCCTTCAATGACAATGTCATTTATTTGCACTTTTAATTTTGGTCTCTGTTCTTTTATAGAAATATTTACTTTATGGTTTCTTTTGAGTATTTTGTTCTCTCCTCTCTAGCTTTTCTATCATCCAGAGCACTGTGGTTTCATATAATAGGTAACAGGTTCTTTAATTGCTTTGTGAAGGAGTTCCATTGACTGTTACAAGAAATTACTCAACTGAATTTGCATGAGGGCCTGCAAGAAGCTCCTCTATTTCCCAATGGTATTCTATTACCTTGACTGACACTTATTGACCTACATTCACTTTTACAATGCCTGACTTGGTTACATTTCTGCATAATCCAGAAGGGAGAGCGATTCTATTTGAATTCTGCTTAGAAAAATCTTTCCCACACTGAGCCAAACTCCTAGAATCCAGTTGCAGAGAGGGAGGAGTGATTAGAAAAAGGATCAAGTCCAGGTTACAGGAACCCTCAGAGACAGCTGACCTGAACAAGGGGGAGCTCATGGACTGATAGCTTGGGAAGCAGCATTGGACCGACCCAGACCCCCCTGAACGTGGGCAATCTATGGATCTCTGACAGTAAGACCAGGATGTATTCCTGGTGCACAAAAGGACTTTGGGAGCACGTTCCCCATAGAGGAATAATCCCTTAAGAGACAGGAGAGAGGGCCTAGTCCTTACTCCAGGTGACTTGACATATTTTGATGATCCCTCCTAGAAGACCTCACCCTTCCTGTGGAGAGGGTGAGGAATTGGATGAGAGGGGGGTCAGAGGCATGAGAGAATGATGGGAGGGAGAGGGAACTGGGATCGATATGCAAAATAAGAAATAATAATAATAATAAAATGAAATAAATCGTTTCCAGAAATGCCATGCTTACAAACTCTTTTCAAGTGACCCTGATTTCCACAATTGAAACACTTGACATTCCAGTTTTTCTTTAAACCTCTGGAAATCACCTCACCTATCCATGCATCATCTTGGTCATGTGATTGAATACTGATTGTAAATCTCAAATCCATTCCCCCAAAGGTGCTAATCATGCTGTTAAGGAGTAATTACACTTTTGCATTATGAAAATTAGCAATTTCAAAAGCCAGAGATTCAATTATCATTTGTTTAGCTTCAAAATCTTGTATCATTTTATTTTCTCCTGAAGTCAGTCTTTTTTGTGAAATCTGTAAAAACTTCCTTTGGGCCCCATATAACTTTAGTAAATGACTCAATTTCCTTTCCTACTTCTCAAATTCTGTCCCAAACATTCAAAACTTCTGTGTGGTATAAATCGAGGACATACATGATCATTATATAGAGATTGCCTCTGTACATCTGCATGATTTCCCTCTCCAAGAAGTTGGTTTTTGGAGATTTTTCACCCCTCTAGCCCTACTTTGTTGTTCAATGGTCTTAACCTCGTCTTTCCACCAGATATTCCATTAGAGTCTTGAAGGCAAGACTCTAAGACTGTTTTAACCAAGTCTCTGTAGTTGCTAGGGATAATTCTATTACAAGTTGATCATGAGTTTAACACCTGCTTCACGAAGGGTGAATGCTCTCCACCAATGAGCTGTCTCTTCAGGCTTTGTGTGTATTGCTTCTATCAGGCTTTTCATCTGGCTGTCATAAATGACAAAGACAAGCAGTCAGAAGGAGTTTATTTCATATCACAATTGAAGGGTATGTACTGATCAAAAATTGCAGAACTCTGAAGTGCACTCACTCGTGAAGAGAATAATGTGTGGCTGTATGTTGTAGGTTTCCTCTTCCACTAGAGTAACTCCTAATGAGTTCAGAACATGCTGCCTCTCAACTTGTAGTGTGTATTGGTTTGAGTATGTTCCAGCTCTATGGCTTTCTGCTTCCCACCATGAAAATCTTTGACCAACCCTCTAAAAGTATAAGCAATGTCCCCCAAAATGCTTTCTTTTATAATAGTTGCTTGGTCATGATGTTTCCTAAGGCAGGTGAGTAGTATTTGAGAGAATGTATCTCCTTTATTACATCAAGTGATCAAGATAGCATCCCATAGAGATTCAGTTACTCCTATTTACATGATAATTTAGAGGTGTTTTCAGGACTTTACATGCTAGATGATTCTGTGTCCTGTCAGTCTGTCAGTTAAAACTAACCATCCTAATATATGCACCCTTAGGAGAAAGTGTCCTTTGAGGATGTGGCTGTGAACTTCACCACAGGAGAGTGGGCATTGTTGGATGTATGTCAAAAGAAGCTCTACAGAGATGTGATGAAAGAAACGTTTTTGAACCTGATCTCCATAGGTAAAATTTCAATATGTTCTCTTTGTTTATTCCATCATAGAACATCCGTGTCTTGCATATGGGTGTACTGTTGGCATTTGAATTCTTAAAGGGAATATGTGGTAAATATAGTGTGAAAACCTATGTCAAATAGCTAGGGTATAATACCTTTTACATTGAATATGAATATGTCATACTGTATCCTCTGGATTTTCTTCTAGAAAAAGCAGTAGAAGAAAATATTGGAGAGGACAGCAAAGACATCAGCAGAAACATGCGGTAATTCATATTCAAAAGAAAGGAATTGATCTCATATATTTGAAAATCATTGGACAACTGAATGCCTATCAAAATGTCTAAAGAAAAGTAACTGAATAATAATCTCTAAACATATTTCTGTAATAGAGCATTGCATTGTGCCATTCAATATTTGAGTATTTCATCTTTATAGTATATTAAGATCACAAATGTGTCATGTAACATTAACCTTTGAATGGATTTTATCTTTGGTTTATTACACACAAACCTTCAAATTATTTTCTGTCTTTCTATGTATGATTTTGAGGGTTTGACCATAAGTTCTGTTTTTTTGTTTTTGTTTTTTGGATTTTGGGGGTTTTTTTGTTTGTTTTGTTTTTGTTTGTTTGTTTGTTATGCTTTCATATGCTATGACAATAAAAAAAGAAAGAAAAAAGCAACTCTGGGGTAGAACTCATTTTTACTAACACACCCTTGTCACAGACCCATTATAAAGGGTAGTCAGGGTAGGCACTCAAGCTGGGCAAGAACTTGTAGGCAGAAACTGAAGCAGAGGTGATGGAGAAATGCTGTTTACCAGTGAGCTCCTTATCCCTTACTCAGCTACCTGTCTTATACCTTGTGCAACCAGCAGATAACTTTCCTACACAGATAATGCCCTCTTGCCCATGGTCACAATGCACATCATAGTGTGAGCCCTCCTTCATCAGTCAAGAATGTAAAAATGCTCCCTCAGACTTATTTACAAGCCAATCTGAGTCATTTTGTCCTTTGAGGGAACCCATTCTCAGTTGGCCATAGATGCATGTAGTTGATAACTAATGAACCAACACTGCCTTAGAATTCTAAATGTCAAAATGCTACAGTGTTTCACCACTTCCACTGATTGTAGTATTTGTCTTCAAACAGCAGAACTTTTGCCTTCTTGTTCATACCTTGTATACATATTGTTTTGTACCTGTATATGTGTATCTATGTCTGTATTCCAGACATAGGCAAAAGATCCTTTAGACCATTAGTAACAACAGAAACTGGTGTGCCCTCCAGATGAGTTCTGGCATCAAAATCTGGACTACTGATGAGCAAAAAAAGAAAAAAAAAAAAAAAAAAAAAAACTCCAAATCCGTGATAACAACTTCATAATTTTAATAGAAGTGAAGTCAACACTCCACATCTTTGCATATGACAGGGCCATGTAGTCCACATTGTCCTTCACAGTCACAGTGTTCTTCTGTTGCCTCTAGGATAGTATGATTTTGGTGGGCCACACAAGCCAGCCTCTAACATTTCTCTTGGCTACAGTAATTCTCTTCTCATTTTTTGCAGAAGTCTAGTGATTGAGAAAGACTGTGGATATGCTCATGATCATGAGTGTGATAAAAACCAGGAACCCATTACAAAGAATATCATAAATAAAGACATGAATCCTGGAGTAAGAATATGTGAAAGAACTTTGCACGTAAGAAACACCATTGGTCATTCATCCTCACATGGGTATATCAGAGACCAAACTACAGGGATACCATCTGAATGGCAAAAAGCTTTTACACATCAGGAACATTGGAAAGATATCCACCATCCTGAATCACTTCAGGTACTTGACACTTCTCCTGAGGAGAAACTCTGTGAAAGTCAAGAATATAATGAAGCCTGTAGTCTCAGTTTGGATCAGCCTCAGGATAGAACTCTCACTGGGTTTACACTCAATGAAAATGACATAAAGGGATACACATATGTTCAGAACAATGAAGGAATCCATAAAGAAGTAAAACAGGTTGTATGTACGTTCTGTGAAGAATCCTTCATTGAGTCCAGTGACCTTTACAACCATGAAAAAAGCCATACTGGACAGAAAAAATACAATTGTAGGCAATGTGGCAAAACATTTAAAATTGCCAAATGTTTTGAGAAGCATAAAGTAACTCATACAAAAGAGAAGCCTTATTCTTGTAAGAGTTGTCAAAAAACCTTTACATGCTCCAGTCATCTGAAAAAACATGAAAGGTTTCACACTGGAGAGAAGCCTTATGCTTGTAAGAGTTGTCAAAAAACCTTTACATGCTCCAGTCATCTGAACAGACATGAAAGAATTCATAGTGGAGAGAAGCCTTATGTTTGTAGACATTGTGGAAAAGCATTTAACCGCTCCAGTCATCTGAATATACATGAAAATATTCACAATGGAGAAAAGCCTTATGCTTGTAGGCATTGTGGAAAAGTTTTTAACTACTCCAGTGCTCTGAATGTTCATGAAAGGATTCACAGTGGAGAGAAACCTTATGTTTGTAGGCACTGTGGAAAAGCTTTTAACTACTCCAGTACCCTGAATGTTCATGAAAGGATTCACACTGGAGAGAAGCCTTATGTTTGTAGGCATTGTGGAAAAGCATTCACCACCTCCAGTCATCTGAACAGACATGAAAGAATTCACAGAGGAGAGAAGCCTTATGCATGTAGGCATTGTGGGAAAGCATTCACCACCGCCAGTCATCTAAACAGACATGAAAGGATTCACAGTGGAGAGAAGATTTATTCTTGTAGGCATTGTGGAAAAGCATTTAACCGCTCCAGTCTTCTGAACACACATGAAAGGATTCACAGTGGAGAGAAGATTTATTCTTGTAGGCATTGTGGAAAAGCATTTAACCGCTCCAGTCTTCTGAACACACATGAAAAGATTCACAGCGGAGAGAAGCCTTATGCTTGTAGGCATTGTGGAAAAGCATTTAACCGATCTAGTCGTCTGAACAGACATGAAAGGATTCACAGTGGAGAGAAGCCTTATGCTTGTAGGGATTGTGGAAAAGCATTTACCACTTCCAGTCATCTGAACAGACATGAAAGGATTCACAATGGAGAGAAGCCTTATGCTTGTAAGCATTGTGGAAAAACCTTCAGTGACTCCAGTAGTCATAAGAAACATGAAAGAAAGCATACTGGAGAGAAGCCTTATGCATGTAAGTATTGTCGAAAAGCCTTCAGTGACTCCAGTACTCATAAGAATCATGAAAGAATTCACACTGGGTTGAAGCCTTATGCTTGCAGGCATTGTGGAAAAGCCTTCAGCCAGTACAATGGCCGTAAGTATCATGAAAGGACTCACACTGAAGAGAGGACTTATTCATGCAGTCATTGTGGAAAAACCTTCAGTGACTCCAGTAGTCATAAGAAACATGAAATAAAGCACACTGGAGAGAAACCTTATGGATGCATGCATTGTGGGAAAGCCTTCAGCTTGTGCAGTAGTCTTAAGAATCATGAAAGGACTCATACTAGATAGTATTATGTATGTAAGTGTTATGTAAAGTGTTATGTAGGCCCTTTCACAGCCTAACGAATGAAAAAAATCACTGGAGAGAAACAATTCTTGTGTAAAACACGTGGGAAACTGTTCATTCAGTCTAGTGATTTCTACAACTATGAAAATTTCACTCTAAAGATAGGTATTATTCATGTAAGCATTTTGGAAAAGCCGTTAGTGACTCCTTAGGAACCGTAGACATAGAAGGTCACACTGGAGAAATGCCTTATGCATTTAAGCATGGTAGAAAAGCTTTCAGGCACTCTGGTGATAATAGCAGACATGACATTGCTTCACTCTAGTTAGTAGCCTAATGCTTAGTAGCATTTGGAGAAGCCTTCTATAGTGCTAGTTGGCGCAAGAGCAGCAAAAACATTCACACTAGAGAGAAAGCCTCTCTTTGTAAGAATTTGGGAAACTGTTTCTTTGATCTTGTGATTTTATCAAGAATAAAAGACCTCACCCTTGTGAGGAACCTTTTCAATGTCAGCACTTTGGAAAACACTTGGCCACTACAAGTTTCTATGACCCTCATGCATGAACTGACATTGGAAAGAAGTTCAATGCAAGTATGCATCTAAGTATGGTGCCACAGACTTCACCAGTTCTTGTTGCCAGAATGTTCTCAGGAATCTATCCTATAGACTTGGGTATCCATTTGCAAAATGCTTTAGCAGCAATAGTTCCTATTATATTGGAAAATTTATTTCACTGGTGAAAGCCTTTATGTTTGGAATAAATGTGGGAAAACCTTTAAAGTATTTAAAATAAATGAAGTTTGAAGTCATTGTCATTTTCAGCATAGTATTCTTGATTTTGTGTGTCCCACATCCCTGGATAATAATCTCACAGTGAAAAGTGTAGTGTGTAGAATTTGCACCATAATTGATTGTGTGAAACTGCATTGGTCAAATTGCTTCTATTGTGAGATGAAAGATTAATGTGAGTGGACAGTGAGATGCATCAGCTAGTAACACTTTATTGCCAGAAAACATGATTATCTCAGTTATGTCCTTGATCTTACATGGTGGCAATAGAGAACCAATTCCTGTAAGAGGTCTTCTGACAGTCTCACACACACACTTTCAAATGAATACACACACCAAAACACAAATGAGTAAATAGTAATATGTTTGTGAGAGTGGAGACTTAACTAAGAAATACAATATTTTAATGTGGAAAGAAACACTGTTAGGCCCAATATTTTCATATATGAATGAAAAAAATCATTACTGTCTGTGTAATAATGCCTGGTTTGTGTTTTGTTTGTTTGGTTGGCTTCATTTATTCTTTGGTGTTTACTTTGAAAACAATTGTAGTAGTGTACCACTTGAGAATGGCTTTTTGAAACTTGGCTCCATTCATGGACAGCTTGAGGATTAATGAGAGGTATGGTTGTCTGGTGAATATATGTTCTTCTACACAAGTTTGAGATTTGGGAAAACACTAATATTTGTAGTACATTCTTCCTGTTTCCAGATTGCAGATTATCATATGTGCTTCTAGTTGTTTCAGGCAGCCTGCCTTTGCTCTACCATCACAAGCTCCAACTCTCTGTAACTACAAGGCCAATGTAACACTTCCATTTCAACATTGCTTTGCACATTGAATTCTATTACAGCTATAGGGGGAAAAAAAAACTCATAAACACCTTGGTGCTTTCAGAGGAACCAAATCCAGACAAAAGAAATTTTCATTGCAGGATGAAAAGGCTGGTTGTCATTTTCTTTAAAGTATTATTTGTTTATTATACATACAGTGTTCTGCCTGCATGTATGCCTGCATGCCAGAAGAGCCACACGATCTCAGTATAGATTGTTGTGAGCCAATATGTGATTGCTGGGAATTCAACTCAGTATCTCTGGAGGAAGCAGCCTGATGGGAGATGTCATTCTGTAAATATGTTTCTCTTATTGGTTAATGAATAAAACACTATTGGCAAATAGGAAAGCAAGATAGGCAAAACTAGGAGGATTTAGGGAGATGTAGTAGAGAGGAGTCAAGATGTAGGACATGAGAGAAGAGGTCTGGACCCTCTCTCTGGTAAGAAGACCACTTGGAAACACTTAGATTGATAGAAATGAGTTAATATTTAGGACAGAGCTAGCCAATAAGAAGCTATAGCCATGGGCAATCAGCTTTATAACTAATAGAGTCTCTGTGAGGTATTTTGGGGTTGATGTGCCTGTGGGACCAGTCTGGCAGGAAACTGCATATAACAGCAGCCAGTGCTCTTAAACTCAGTGCCATCTCTCCAGACCACTACTTGTCATTTGTAATTTGTGAAACCTTTTCATTTTATTGGATTTTATGTCAGCAATAAACTAAATACTTTCTGAAATGTACTCCAATATTTTAGAGACAGTTTGAAAGAAGTACATTCAAACTTTGAGAATATTTACTATAGGCCCATTCCTATGTAGGAGATTTACTTTGCATTGTGTATTTGTTAGGAAGGCAATATATGGTTTCTATGGTTACTACAGGTTATCTTCTCACATCTGAAGTTTTGGAGTGCAAAACTGCAAATAGGAGAGACAAGATTTATCTTTCTGAGTGTGGATTATTGTGTGTTACATGGTTTTTATCTTATATATGAAGTCATGTGTAACAAAAGTAAAACCGTGCCATCATTTTTGGAAGGAATTACAAGGAAATATAGGGAGGAAGTGGAAGCAGAGTGTGGTTGTTATTAGACTTTTAAAAAGATCTTGGAAGGTATGCTGAACAGTTGTGGGTGCTTAGAGTTTTGTTTTGGTTTTTTTTTTTTTGTTTGTTTGTTTGTTTGTTTTTCTGTTTTCCTGAGAATTCAGATTAAGTTACAGGCACATTTATGGTGGCACATAACTGGTTGAAGGTTGAAGGCATTCAGTGCTTCTTGTGTAGTTAGGAAACACAATGTGTTTGCTGTCATAATGTGCTGACTATTTTTAAAAGCAAACTTTCTTCAAACTAACCTCACTTTGGAAGAGGGAACCCCAGTTAATGAACTCTTGTTCAGATGGCCTGTGTCCATGTCTATGAGGGATATTTTTAATGGATTTTGGAGGGCCTCATCCAGAGTGTGTATCACCATCAATACACAGGTCGGCCTGCTTTTATAAGAATGCTAATTATCCAGAGCCAGTAATCAGATTCTTCCATAGTTTTTGTCATGGTTTCCTTCAATGATGCTTTGTGACCAGGAAGTGTAAGTCAAATTAACTCTTTGCCTCACTTGCTTTTGGTCATGGTACTCATCACTACAACAAAAACCATAGTCAAACACATAGAATGTCACAGAAATATACTGCATGCCATAGTCTTCAGCGATATTCTGGGAGAGGTAAGTGCCGTGCCTTCTCCTGCCCCCCTTTCTCAGTTGGAGTTGCCTGACCCATGGGCCTCAGACCCATTCTACCCCCAAATTTCCCAGAAAGACCTTGAGAGATAACAAACCATCTAGCATCCACCACTGTTTGAGTCTTGAACCCACCTGCACCCACTGGGAGAGAGCCTTGGACCCATACCCACAAGGAGAGGGAAGAGTGAATGGTAAGATGACAGTATAAGATCACATTCAACAACAGAAAGACTAACATGACACCTGAGTCTAGGGATTCTACACCAGCAAGATTTGAACATTCCCAGTGCAGATGAGGCAAAAAAGATTGAGCTTTAAAACAACTTTATGAAGATGATAGAGGCCCTAAAGAGGAAGTGAGAAAAACACTTTAAAGAAATGGAAGGAAAAACAAACAAAAAATGGAAGTAATGGAGGAAAAGACAACCCCCCCCCCAAAAAAATGTAAGAAATCAACAAATCTCTTAAAGAAAGCAAGGAAAGTCAAGGGAAAAAAAAAATCCAAACAGTTCAAGACCTAAAAACTGAAATAGAAACAATAAAGAAAGCACCAACTGAGGGAATGCTGAAGATATAAAATCTGGGTAAACAATCAGGAAATACAGATGCAAGTGTATCCAGCAGAATACAAGAGATGGATGAGAGAATCTCAGGTGTTGAAGATATACTAGGGGAAATAGATTCATCTTAAGTCTAACACATCCTTAATACAAAATATTCAGCAAATATGGGACACCATGAAAAGATCAAACCTAAGAATAATAGCTATAGAAGGTGAAGAAGCCCAGCTCAAAGGTTCAGAAAAACATAGTAACAAAATCATAGAAGAAAAATTTCCCAACCTAATAAAGGACATGCCTATGAAAGTACAAGAAGCTCACAAAACACCAAATAGACTGGACAAAAAAAAAAAAAAGAAAAGAAAAGAAAAGAAAAAGAAAAGAAAGTCCCCTTGCAATCTTGCAATATTATAATCAAAATTCCAAACATACAGAATAAAGAAATAATATTTAGATCAGAAAAGGAAAAATGCCAAGTAACATATAAAGACAGACCTATCAGAATTACACCTGACTTCTCAATGGAAACTCTGTAAGTCAGAAGGTCCTGGATAGAGTTCTACAAACAATAAGAGACCATGAATGCCAGCCCAGACAACTATACCCAGCAAAGCTTTTGATCAATATAGATGGAGAAAACAAGATATTCCATGACAAAATCAGATTTAAATGATACTTATCCACATATCCAGCCCTACAAAAAGTACTGGAAGGAAAACTACAACTCAAGTAAGTTAACTATACTCAAGAAAACATAGGCAATAGATAATCCCACTTTACCAAAAACCATAAAAAAGGAGAAATCCACACAGAATACCACCAACAATGGAAAATCCCAAACTAACAAGAATCAACAATCAATTAATATCCCTCAATATAATTGGTCTTAACTGATCTATAAAAAAGACATAGACTAACAGAATGGATACGAAGACAGAATCCATCCTTCTGCTGCATATAAGAAACACACTTCAACTTCAAAAACTTCACCTCAGAGTAAAGGGTTGGGAAAAGATTTTCCAATCAAATGGACCTAAGAAACAGATTCTTATTTACCACGCTTTCTCTGGTACCAGGAGTGGGGTAAGGATTTTTACGGGGCTGGGGAATTAGGTTTCACCAAGGTGGTGGGGCATCTTCACAGAGCTGCTCCCTCCCCCCACTCCAGCTATTCTGCAATTGCAGTTTCCCTACTCCCCTGCTCCCATGGGGTGCTTATTACACATCTGTGCTGCAACTCCTTTATCTCTGCCACAGCCCTGAGACTACACTCACAGGTGCTGTGGCCCATTCCTCCATATTGTGCTGAGACCTGAAGCAGAGCCCAGAGCCCCACCACACTTGTTTGCTCTGGCTGCCCAGCACCAGTTGTTCCCTATACTAGCGGAGGTGAGACCTGTTGGCCCTGCTGTCTGAGCAATTTGACAAGGCTCGTTTCACTTCTCCGTTTAACAAAATTTTGCTTGCGTTAGCTTGTTAAGAACTATTCTACAGGGACTGGGATCAGAAGGACCTCCTGCTGCCAGGCACTATTTGGTGGTCCACCTGTGCACCTATTGGCCAGGTATAATTACAAGTTGAGATCTGCAACAAAAAAGCGTCAAAGTTCCAGGACAGCAGGATTATATCTAAGGTAATACAACATCCTTCACAACTTAAGCTTATATAATAGCTGAGATTAATTCTTCAATACCAATTGCAGATAATCTAACAATGCAGGACATTAGGCATCTTTTTATTTCATATATGGAGGGGATCTTAGAAGAGGGCCATAACTTAACCAGAATATACATTTTTAAAATAATGGTGATTAGTTTCATGATCCATATAATATTCTTAAAGAAAGGGTTTGAGATTAGAGCGAAGACTATTGA